CCAGGCTGGATTCGAACCCGCCACCTTAGGTGTATGTGGCTGGCGCCTTAGCCACTTGAGCCACAGGCGCCAAGCCCTCAGGCTGGTCTTGAACTCCCGAGCTCAGACAATCCACCAGCCTCAACTTCACTGTGTGCTAGGATTACAGATGTGAGCCACCTCACCCAGTCTCAGGAGGATCTCTTGAGCTCAGGAGTTTGAGGCTACAGTAAGCTATGATCTTGCCACAGCACTCCAGCCTGTGTGACAGAGTGAGATGTCTTAAATAAACAAATAAATAAATTTTAAAAGATCGCAACTATACTGAACATTAAAAACTTTTTTCTTGTCATTATTCCCTAAACGATATAGTATAACAACTATTTACATAGCCTTTACATTGTATCAGGTATTATAAGTATAGATAATTTAAAGTATACAGGAGTATATACATAGGTTACATGCAAATACTATGCCATTTCCTATCAGGGACTTGAGGATTCATGGATTTTAGTATCCAGGGGAGATGCTAGAATCAACTTCCACAGATACCAAGGGATGACTGTACATCAAAGAAAATATGGATGAGAAGATATCATTATAGTAAATGGACCTATTCCTAAAGTTAAAAGAAAAGGGCTCTCGGTAGAAAAAGGGAAGATGGAATTCACACCAGTAGGGAAGGCATATAAGTCAAATTATGATATTATGGATAAGAAAATTGTTGCTGGCTCGGTGCCTGTGGCTCAAGTGGCTAAGGCGCCAGCCATATACACCTAAGGTGGCGGGTTTGAATCCAGCCCGGGCCCGCCAAACAACAATGATGGCTGCAACCCAAAAACAGCCAGGCGTTGTGGTGGGCGCCTGTGGTCCCAGCTACTTGGGAGGCAGAGGCAGAAGACTCGCTTGAGCCTGGGAATTGGAGGTTGCTGTGAGCTGTGATGCCATAGCACTCTACCCAGGGGGACAGCTTGAGGCTCTGTCTCAAAAAAAAAAAAAAAAAAAAAGAAAAGAAAAGAAAAGAAAAGAAAATTGTTGCTGGCCAGGTGCAATGGCTCACACCTGTAATCCTAGCACTCTGGGAGGCCAAGGCAGGTGGGTTGCTTGAGCTCAGGAGTTTGAGACCAGCTTGAGCAAGAGCAAGACCCTGTCTCTACTAAAAATACAAACAACTGAGGCAAGAGGATTGCTTGAGCCCAAGAGTTGGAGGTTGCTGTGAGCTGTGATGTCACCATAGCACTCTACCCAAGGTGACAGGTAGTTTGACACTCTGTCTTTTAAAAAGAAAGAAAGAAAGAAAGAAAGAAAGAAAGAAAGAAAGAAAGAAAGAAAGAAAGAAAGAAAGATAGAAAGAAAACTGTTGCTGCTCCTTAACTTGTAAATCAGCCTCCACTGTGATGAATACAAACCAGTGCTCTATTAAGTCAGGAAAGACATACTGCATTCAGGAACTTCAGGCCAGCTTCACTCCCAAGCCATCTAGAAATATCCAACTCCAGAGAACCTTAAACTGGAACCAGCTGAATTCATATTAGGCAGATCTTTCTAATTCATAATCTGGCTGATTATGAATATGATTTAGGACATGAAAGATGGAATTGATAAACTGAGAACAAGGCTGTCTCTGTCTGCAAATGTTATCTGAAATATATAAAATATTCTTACCAGGAGTATATATATATATAAATTTCCTCATATTTCAAATGAGAAATATGGTTTGACTCACAGGGTTCTAAGGCTCAAATATAGTAACATATTGTATATGAAAACACTTTTTTACAAAAAATTTACAAAACTTTTCACATTTTATTTATCAACTAATTGACTGAGACAGAGTTTTGCTCTGTTGCCTGGGCTAGAGAGTAACGACATCATCATAGCTCACTACAACTTCAAACTCTTGGGCTTGAGTGATCCTCCCACCTCAGCCTCCCAAGTTCCTGGGACTACAAGTGTGTGCCACCATACGTGGCTAATTCCAAAAAAAGAGTTTTAGAGATGGGGTCTGACTGTGTTGCTCAGCCTAGTCTCAAACTCCTGGTCTCCCAAAGTGCTAAGATTACAGGCATGAGCCATCATGCCTGGCCATACTTCAAACATTCTAAATTCTACCATATAAATTCATTTAATTCAACCAAACAATTAGCAGAGTACCTAATATATGCTAGAGCTTAGAATGAATCTGTTATTTTATTATTATGCTATACTACTTTCCAGGACACTTATCTCACCACTTGAGTCAGAAAAGCTGCTAAAGAGTTGTCCAGAAATAGATTAGCTTTAATAAATAGGCTTTCTTAAATCACTACAGTTTAGCCCTAGCATTGTGAATAGCATATCCAAACCCATTCACATGGAGAACTTCAAGCCTTCTCCAAATAATTTTGTTTCAACTGAAAAAGCTAATCAATAATCAGGGAAATACCTAAGATAATCAAGAAAGGGCCAATTTTGTGATAAGTGATGGTTTGTCACCAAGAAACTGTTTGTGAATTAAATATTGCCAGCACCATCTGACCCAAAGTTGCCTACTAATGAATAAAATTAGACAGACCAATCCTTTTTTTCCCCAAAGCATTCCCAAAGAGACCAAGGGGTCTCTTTTAAACTTGCTGTAGCCGCAGCAAGTTTAACTCAACAAATATTTCCTGAGCACCAAATATGAATTAATTATTATAAATAAAAGGGAAAGTGTTAGTAGTTGGGTTGGATTACCATATATAGCTCTCACACAGGGACAAATCAACCTCTCTAGTCGCTCTGTTGTCCAGCTCTCTTGGACAACATAGACAACTATTTGCTAAGCATCATCCCACACAAGAAGAATGTAACATGCCCCAAACTGAACTTACCTCTGCTGCTGCCTGGGCCTCCCACCCCAAATTCCTCTGTCATTCTACCTTATTGATAGATGGAATCGTGATTCTTTCAGTCTTCCAGGCCATAATCCTAGCAGTCATCTTCAATACTGTCCTTACACTCACTGTCAATCCCCAGTGTCATCAAGTCCTTTTTATTCTACTTTAACATTTCCCATATCTGTCTGCTTGCCCCCCCCCTTTTTTTTTGAGACAAGAGTCTCACTTTGTTGTCCTTGGTAGAGTGCTGTGGCATCATAGTCACACCAACCTCAAACTCTTGGGCT